GAGTGTACGTTCCAAAATCTGCCTTGTGTAGTTTTTCTCTCTGCTTAGTGTAGCAATGAATCGCTGGAAAGCTATTGGCCAAACATCTTCCTGGTTTAGCGGAGGAACCTGTGAGTTAAATGTTGCAGGAGCCACATTTAATGTTTCTGGATTAGCCCGGGGGTGGGGCTATTGTGCTTTTGTTAGTTAGGGCTATTGCCTGGAGCATAGCACAAGAAGCTCTGATGTAACTACAGTAGACACCCCCCTAGGTCAGGTGTAGGCAACCTTGGCACTCCAGCTGTGCTGAAACTACAAATCCCATAAGGCATTGCAAGCCAGAGGGATGACTCCCAGAGGCAGAAGCATGATGGGATTTGTAGTTTCAGCACAGCTGGAGAGTCAAGGTTGCCTACCCCTGCCCTAGGTCATCACCTCTCCTTGCTGCAAGAAAAGGAAGATGAAAGTGAGGGTAGAATGGATCAAATTGTCCCCATTACCCCAGCACACCCACACGTGTGAAGGAGTTGAAAGGTTGGAACTCCTACTTACCTGGGAGCTGCTGGCAGTCTACTTAAGAGATCAAAGAGCGTTAACGCTGCAGCCTCTGTCTTCACCTTTCCATGCCAAGGGAGGAAAGAAACACACGACGCAATTACAACCCATGCTCATAAGAGTTAAGCTCGCTCTCTTCTTCAACCCTCACCCAGCAACTCCCCTTTGGCATCTGCAAGCCCAAAGATGCTGGAAGAAGGGTGGAGGGGGACATGTTTTAAGAGCAGTGAGGAATTGATATAACCATTTCAAATATCTAACATGTGGTGTACACCTAGACTCGCCTGTGTTCTATCAAAAGCACCAACTCATCGAGATCTCCAACTACCTCACTTCCGGTGCTCAGAAAGACTGGAGCTCTGTACAGTTGCGGTGCGCATGCGCGCATAGTGTTTTCAGAATATTCGTCGAGTTTGCCACCTGCTGAATATTGTTAAAATGCAGCTGTACAGAGCTCCGTCAGTCTTTGTATTTTGCAGTCCAACGTCGTCTGGTCGAAATCTCCAACTTGCAAGTACCCGGCAGTGAGGTAGTTGGAGATTTTGACGAGTTGGAGCTTTCGATAGAATACCGGCCGGCAGTGCATCCACCTTGAACTTCTGGGAATAGCTTAGCCCTCATTGCTGTGTGTGAAACAGGCCAAGCACCTGACGTTCACATGGGCCTACTTTATGCAAAATACAGCTGCTGCTAAAATCCAGTATAGCAGTACTGTGAGTCGTTTCCTCTGCTGACCTCCAAAGCCAAGCCCAAACAAGAGGAGGTCGGCAACATCTTCCAAGGAGGTTCAACTAGTACCATTAAGACTGTGGTGAAGGTTGCCCCTCCAGAGGTGGGGGAGGAAGGAAACCTCTGGTTGTTTCTGCTTGGTTTGAGGAAGCTCAGAGAACTGAGGAAGTGAGTCTCGGCTTTTTTTTATATTGAACTTGAGCCATATGTTTCCTGTTTTAGGTAAGTGCAGACAAACAAACACTCTCATTTGCTGTCCTGTAAGGTGATTGGGGAAACCTTCTTAGTTCAGCAATATTTTGGAGCTGCACGGGGTCCCTTTGTCAGCCTGCAAACATACCTTGACAAAGACTCCCTATGGAGCCCCGAAAACATTGGGGATCTCTAAATAAAAACAGTTATATTTGCTGAACATTCTAGCTATGTGCTACCGACTTCTGTTGGTTGAATGGTGGTTTTAAAGGAGAACTATGGGGTTAAGTCTTTTCCCCATAGTTCTCCTTATGGTAACGGGAGGACACAAACTAGCGTCCTCCCGTCACCCTGGGCTCAGTATACCGCGAGCTGTAGCTTGCAGTATACTGAGACGCGGCAGCTGAAGCGGATCCCGAAAATTGTGCCGGGATCCGCCCAGCTGTGTGACTGACAGCTGGCTCTGCCTATCAAAAGGCAGAGCCAGCTGTACCCGCCCCCTCCCCCGTCCGTTCCGCCAGTCAGCGCTGGCGGATCGGAGCGGGGAGGGGGGAATCCAGCCCCTCCCCTGTCACGGCACAGAGCCGCGACAGGATCGAGAGGTGAGTGAACCCCGGTATGCGTTCGCTCACCTCCCGATCTACTGAGCCGACCTGTGACAGTCTCAGTGTCACAGGTCGGCTAGAACTATGAGGTGAGTGAAAATCACTCACCTCATAGTTCTCCTTTAACTTCAGAAATGGACCATCTATTTTGTTGATATAGCCATTTGCTGGTGAGATACCAGCCATCTGGTGTACAGCTGTGACCCCATAACAAATTTTAACATGCAGTTCAGATCAACCTCCCCCTGGGTCAATTATGTGAACATGACAAACAAGGACTTTTCCTAAAAAACTGATGTCAAGTTTATTAAATAAAACCCTAACTGCTGTATTGTAGACCATTAATACCATGACCACAGCTGCCCTCAGCGTCCAACAGACAGAGAGGGAAGTGATTTCATACCGCAGGAACACAGGCGACTAAAGGACAACTACATGAATATGAACCAAGTACAAAAAACATCTGTGAGTAATATATAGCGATGCACCGGATACTAGTATTGGTATCAGTGCCAATACCGAGTATTTGGGCATAATCGTACTCGCCCAAATGCCCCCGATACTGGAACTTCTGGTCAGAGGGAGAGCTCCCTCTGATCAGCAGTGCCGAGGGAGCATGGAGCCGGCTTCCTTCCAAATCAGGAAGCCGGGCGGTGGGTTATGACACGCTGCCTGGCTTCCTGATTGGTCAGGAAGCCGGTGTTCATTCAAGGGAACACCGGCTTCCCAGGCAATCAGGAAGCCGGGCAACGGGTCATGATCCGCCACCCGACTTCCTGATAATCGAGGCACGCGGCTCTAGTATCGGTGAGCACCAATAAACAAGATTTCGGCACTCATACTCGATACCGAAAAAACAGTATGGGTGCATCCCTAGTAATGTATATATTAAACAGCCAGTGTGGCAAGTCAAGGTCTGTCAGCATAAATGAAAGTGAATTTTTGCAGATCAAAGCAACTCACTGACATAGGTCTAGAAAAATTCAGAAGCATGAAGGCCACACTTGACCAAACACAATTCCCGGACAGGCACTTGAAGCCAAAAATAAAAACCAGTATTACTGACAATATAAACTATGTGTTGGGAGAGCCATCGAGCAGAGGAAGGACTGCAGTATGAAAGCCGACATGTAATACAGAGCCACAAATGTAGGTGTGTTTACTGTGTACGTGGCTACAAATTGGTCAGGAATTCACACTGACTGCCCAAAAATAATAGTCATGTGTACAAAGGGAATCCTGGACGTTGTGGGGATGGGAGAGGGGAGGCAACGTGTGCTATGCAAAATCAGTGGCATTATAATGCAGAACACGCTCTGCTTTGCGTTTAGGCCTGGTTCACACCTGTACGTTTTTTAGCGCGTTCAACGCTCTACGAACGCTCTACAAAACGCTCAAACATGAAAATCCCATTTTCTATGGGTATGGTTCACACCTTGCCGTATTTCAGCCCGTCTGAACGCGCTACAAAACGGCCTACGCCGGAAAAGGTACATGAGCTTCTTTGCGGCGTTTTTGTCGTGCGTTTCCATTGGGATACAGTCAAGTAGCCCTCGGAAACGCGTTTTTGGCGCGCGTGCGCCACGAAACCCGTGACAAACGCGCATATTCGATACGCCTAGGTGTGAACAGAGCCTTACAGTAATGAATGGTAAAACGCGTGGGGCCCATTCCCACCAGATGTGTTTGGAAGAAATAGCAAGCACGGCCCCAATGCAAGACAAAACAATTTGCGTTGTCACGGATGAGCACAGTTCACACCACCGCTGGAAAAAAAAAAGTACAGAATGCAACGGTGCAACCGCCTCGTACCATTCTGTGCCCATGGAACTTAATGAAATGTCACTGGTAACATTTCAATAAAGTTCTAAAAAAAAAAAAAAGTAAAACGGGATTGGCACATCAGCACTGTTGCCGGGCAACACACACCAGCAGCTGAGCGATGTAACACAGCTGCTGGTGTGAATGGGCCCTACAGGCTGTGACATACTGCGCGGAGTGCGGACCTTCGCGTGCAGTGTGTCTCGCAATTTCCTCTCGGGTGGCGGGAACTCGCATAGCTGAGCGTGACGAGATAAAAAAATAATTTTCAGCCAATCGGCTCGCGTGTATGAACCCGAGCATCAGGATGCGAGTTCCTTTGAGTTCATACGCATGTAGGGTTGCCACCTTTTCTTCAAGCGAAACCCGAACACTCAAGCGACACGCAGACATTTTTTAGTGAAGAATGGGTCGGTGCTTATTCATATGTAAATAACTCCACCCATTCATATATAAATATCACAGTTGAGACTATTTTCAGTGGGGGGCAGTAGCCCCTATCTTAATTTTGGTTGCCCCTGTCTGCCTGAGATCTTGTGTCCGGGTTTCTGCTGCCATGAAAACCCGGACACAGCAGTCAAAACCCGAACTGTCCAGGTGAATCCTGGACAGGTGGCAACCCTATACGCATGAGCCAATTGGCTGAAGATGAAGTATTTAATCTTGCCGCGCTCAGCTACTCAAGCTCTCGCACATGTGAACGTCCACACCTCGCAATGCAGGTCGCGCCTTTGCATGCAGTGCGTCACAGGCTTTACAGCAGAGGTGGCACAACTGTGGTGAAGCTACCAATCCCATAATGCATCTGTCTCTGGGAGTCACGTCTCTGGCTGTGAGAATCTGGCAATGCCTCATGGGATTTGTAGTTCCACAGCAGCTGGAAGGCCCGAGTCCGCTCACCCCTGCCTTACAGTAACGTACAGGTGGTAAGGGACCCTCAGCTAAGCGCCGTTATAGCCAATGACATGGTCTCTTTGTGAATTGAGCCGAATGTGCCTTTTTGTGCGAGTAAACCACACTTTCCTCTACACTGTGCGCAGCCTACACGTGTATCTGGGCAGGTCCGCAGGAACAGGAAGCGCGCAGTCCACCATGGTGTGTCCGAGCTGATGGAATTACCTGTCAGGCCGTAGTGCATGCCGCCCATCCCGCTGTACAGCTCCACCACCCGTAGTCCGGCCATCCTCCCCCGGCCCGTGCTGCCTCCTCGGCCTGTGCCGTCTCCCCCGCCCCTCTCTGAGCGCTCTCCCCTCCGCCTGCACCAACCGGGACTTCCGTGCGACGGGCGGGGAGCTCCTGGCTGTGGCCCTCTCTATAGGGCAGCGCTAAGTGCGGTCACCCATAGCAACCGATTATCGCTCCTGTCACTCAGGTAGACTGCGGGCTCTTGTTGCTAGGGGTTCCTGCTGATAAAAATGACTACGAAAGTTAAAGCAATTTTCATAGAAAGAAAAAAAAAACGGGCTGATTTGTGGACATTGCTGAAAATGAGTCGCAAATTGTGGTTGTCAGTAGCAACAAAAGGAACACCGGCATTGTTGTTGGTTGCTGGTGATGTACTATCAACTCTTTATGGACTGCACACAGCACAACATATGATGAGCAAATACCGGATTTCATGTACTGAGCGAATGTTTGCTAGAGTTATATCAAAAGGATCTTCCATCATGGAGCTTTCCGAGCTGGAGCATTGTGAGCTTTATGATGTAGACGCACTTAAATCTCCCTCTAAATAAGTTCATTCAGGTTAAAAAGTCTTTTTTCAATGTTTTCAAACATACAGCTTTCATTAAAATAATACCCATGAAGGTCCTCGCTCAGGCTCTTCCTGTTATAAGGTGACAACACTCTGTCCCTGTCTTCATCTGTGCTCCTGCGTTGTCGCAGCCTTCCCCGGTGGAGGAAGCCATTCCTACTCACATTTCACAGGCAAGGTTGACCGTTCTCTCCATCAGGAAACCCACCCTGAGAATTTGGGTGAAATGCGTTAGAGTGGGAATAATAAACATATTAGTGAGCAGGTAGTGTTCCAGGTAGAGATGCACCGATACCTATACTAGTACCGGTGCCGATACCTAGTATTTGAGCACGTACTCATGCTCACCCAAATGCTCCGATACCGGAACATCCAGTCAGAGGGAGATTTCCTCTGGCCGGCAGTACTGCGATGAAGCATTGAGATGGCTTCCCGGCCAATCAGGAAGCCGGACGGGTAGGAAATGACTCGCCGCCCGGCTTCATGATTGCCTGGGAAGCTGTCTCCATGCTGTTCGGCTGGCTCAATGCTGATTGGCCGGGAAGCCGGCTTCCCACCCAATCAGCATCAAGCCGGTCAAACAGCATGGAGACCGCTTCCTGGCCAATCAGGAAGCCGGGTGGCAGGTAATGACCTGCCTCCTGGCTTTGTGATTGGCCGGGAAGCCGGCTTCCCATCCAATCAGCATCCAGCTGGTCAAACAGCATGGAGTTAGTTTCCTGGCCAATCGGGGGGAAGCCGGCTACATGCTAGCGGAAGTATCAGTACTCGCTATCGTCGAGTACGGAAAGATAAATATCGGTACTCGATACAGAGAAACCGGTATCGCTGCATCCCTAGTTACTGGGTCCTCCAAAGCTGGACTTTCAGGATGACTCCAGCTCTGTAGTATGATGCCACTGGGAATTAGTTTATATTGAAGGCAACTCCATTCATAATGGCTTCAGCGACTGTATCTGATGTCCATACTGACCCATGTGACCCATGTGTATGTGACAGATGGCGGAACACGTCCCGCTTACATACCAGCTGCACACAGTGTCCTGTTACAGTATGTGCCCTCTGTGATTACTCGTCCGTCAATATACATGGATGACATGGAAGTGTAAGACATTATTTAGGATTTAGCTTTACTTTTATCTTTGATGAATTGCTCGGGTTCTGGAAGTAGAGGACATATGCTGATGGTGTCATTTCATGTCTCCGTATTCATTTTTAGGATCTGGTGACGTTGTGCAGACATTTAATACTCTTGTAAAGGTCCCATTTCTTATATGAGAGTTCACCTACTTCCCACAGACAGGTCACATGTACACACACACACACACACACACACACACACACGCTGCAGCTGACCCATCTCTAGAACAGAAATAATCCGCTGTATTGCATATTGTCACCTCCCATCATGCTGAGATATAAAGGAACCAGTATTTTCATTATAAATATATTCTTTGCCATATATAACATAGAAAAGTAGACATATATCATTATCATAGATGCCTGCAGCTGATATAACAAAAGAATGTCACAGAAAACACAATAAGGGGAAATTATCAAAACTGGAGCATACAAAATGTGGAGCAGTTGCCCGTGGCAACCAATCAGCTTCTCTCTTCAGTTTGTTCAGTTAAGATTTGAAAATGAAAGAGAGAAGCTGATTGGTTGCCGGTCACAGCTGCTCCAGATTTTGTCTGCTCCAGTATTAATAAATTGTTCCTTGTTTATAAAATAATTCTTCTGCCCATAACATCCAAATGACTTGTCCGGAGTAGATTGAGGGCTTGTTCACACCAAATGCGGAGCACATCTGCATGGGTTTCTGCACACGCAGTGCAGTGTGTTTTGCCGCTTTTTGTTGCCGCTTTTTGTTGCCGCATTCTGGGCCATTTTTGTAAATCGTTTGCATGTGTTCCAGAACAGGTAAAATAGGGCTTGCTGCAGTTTTTTTATCTGCTCTGGAACTGATCGCTGCAGTGTGTACTAGAGCCCAAAATACCATCGGAATACATTGGACGAAGTTTTGATCTGGTCTGTAACTGCTCTGCTCCTGGAAGGCACATGGTGTGAACTAATCTTCAGGCAAACATTGGAGCAGTCGTTGTGGGCAGCATTACAATTTACAAATGTTTGGGCTGACTACTACTACGGTAGACTGTGCCGTATTGGCTGAAAATTTACGCTGATGTTTTGCGACTTTTTTTAGTTGAATAAAGCCTTTTGATTGGCTCGGGTTAGAACATCTCTGATTGGTTGGAATTTGGTGAGGAGCCGATTGTCTGGCTAAGGGCAGGTTTACACCATTTTCTGGTCCGGAAAATGGTGTGAACCTGCCCACAGTTCCAGTGCAATACAGACCAGACAAAATAGGACAAGCAGTATTTTTCTTGTCTGGTCTGGAACGGACTGAGCTGGTGGGAACAGAGGCCAGAAATAGCATAGGGATACATTAGGATTAGGGATGTCCCGATTCCGATGCTAGCATCGGAATTGGGCCCGATACAGGGCATTTTGACAAGTACTTGTACTAGATGCCTAGCGCCAAAGCTTGCGTTTTTTTTTTTTTACCTTCCGTGGTGGCTGGGGTCCTCTGGGCAGGCTGGAGGAGCGTCGCGTCACTGCTGTGGGCGGAGCTCCAGGTGGGGGTCTAATGTAGTTGGCTGGCGACTGCCCAGAGGACTCCGCCTGTAGCTCCGCCCACAGCAGTGACGTGACGCTCCTCCGCTCAGCCTCTCAGCGCCGCCGCCGGGTCTAATGTAGTTGGCTGGCGACTGCCCAGAGGACTCCGCCTGTAGCTCTGCCCACAGCAGTGATGCGACGCTCCTCCGCTCAGCCTCTCAGGTGTGAACCAGGCCTAAAAGTACATCTGAGCTTGGAGTGGTCAGGGTTCTGAGGAAGGGGGCGTGTCCCAGAAATGCATTAACCCTTGCCACTCACTGCTGGAAGACGACTTCGATCGTGAGCTGACCTGGCTGCGCTGTGGCTTCTGATGGGCGATATCCTCCTGTGAGGGGAATCATTGAATACGCTTGTGTCACTTTTCTCTTGTGAGTACATTACTACTTTTTAAAGCAAGTTATGAAACGATCCTTCACATGGAGTCATTTTTATAGATGTTAAGGTTCCCTGCCTTGTGGAGCTGCCCCAGTGTCATCAGGTGGAATCAATTAAGGAGATGGGCTTGCTGTGATTCATTTGCGCCGGGAAGATTTTGATTTTAAATAGGCATACGCAGTATGAAACAGTGCACGGTGAAGGTCCCCGGATCGGGGCTGAAGGTAAGTATTTATCATAGTAGGATGCACTCAGGGAAGTGGGGGAATTTAGTAAAGCACAAAGGTACACTTGCTCTTTAAGAATATTTAGATTCCTGCATAAGCCCAGTAGTGATTGCTTCACTTTAAGATGTTTTGAGACATGAGGGCCATTGTGCTATACGAGGCATGCAGAAAATCAGAAATAGTTGACGTGTTTTCTAAAATGAATTCTCATTTTTGTTTCACGGACAAGGGCTGGTGTCTATTCTTTTATTCAAACATTCCAACCATGCCACCAATAACAGTGTTTTCTGCCATTTACATCTAGGTATTGCTTATAGGGTAAGTCCACATTCTTCATAAAATGATAAATCTAATTGCCGCACAAGCCAGTTGTAGTTTGGTGTTAATAAAAATTTACTTTCTAGCTGTATCTACAGCGAAACGTTCAGTTTAAGGCTGCATTCACACCAGGAGCTGCACCACAGTGCACAGCGGTTGGTGTGTTACCAGTCACAGTGGTGACATGCCAATCCCAGCACATAGCACTGTTTGCCATTTTGTTTGTTAGAACTTTATTGAAATGTCACAAGTAACATTTTGTTAAGTTCTATGGGCACAGTGTGGTCCGGTTGTGCATGCAGTACTTTTTTTTTGCAGTGCACACCACTGCAGCACAAAGTTGAGAACTGAGCCCATTCATGACAAGACAAATTGCCTCGTCTAGTGTTGGAGTTTATTTATTTATTACAGGTATTTATATAGCGCCGACAATTTTCACAGCGCCTTTACATAGTTGCACATTCACATCAGTCCCTGCCCTCAAGGAGCTTAAAATCTAAGGTCTCTATATTGCATGCATACATAGGAGAACCAATTTTAGACAGGAGCCAATTTACCTTCCAGCATGTTTTTGGAGTGTGGGAGGAAACCAGAGTACCCGGAGGAAACCCATGCAAGCACAGGGATGTAACGAGTCCCGAGGGGTCAGACCGCTCCGGTCTCTCCAATTGCAGGGACGGCCGCTTTGCGTTCCACGGTGGAACGCGGAAGCCGCTCGACTTCCTGATTGTGGAGCGAGCGGCCTGCGTTCCACGTTGGAACGCGGAAGCCGCTCGTTCCGGAGGCTGGCTCCTCCCACGTCCTTGGGCTATTTAAAGCCCAAGCTGAGGCAGCATGGCGTTCCACTATTGGAGTCAGAACGCCTGCTGCCTCCTTCCACCCGAACCAAACCTCTGAGACCTTCAGGACTGCCTGGGAAGGACCCCTA